AGGCACAGGCTAATTTTACACTCCTATCAATGTGAATGTTAACATGTTAATGTAAATATTCACATTGTTAACGGGCCGAGCCGGGCCCGCCCTAGGCTCTGGCCAATTTTATACTCTTATCAATGTGAATGTTAACATGTCAATGTGAATATTCACATTGTCAACAGGCTGGGGCAGGCCCGCCCCCGGCATTCCACGGGCTGTGGGCGGGTTTCGGGTAGCCACGAGGCGCGAGCTAATTTTATGCTCCTATCAATGTAAATGTTAACATGTCAATGTGAATATTCACATTGTCAACGGGCCGGGCCGGGCCCGCCCCGGACCATGGGCGGGCTTTTGGACGCCCATGGGCCGCGGGCCAATTTTATACTCTTATCAATGTGAATGTTAACATGTCAATGTGAATATTCACATTGTCAACAGGCCGAACCGGGCCAGCCCCGGGCCATCCATGGGCCGTGGGCGGGTTTCGCGCCGCCAAGGGACGCGGGCCAATTTTACACTCCTATTAATGTGAATGTTAACATGTCAATGCGAATATTCACATTGTCAATGGCTCGGGCCCGCCCCGGCCCGACTCGAATTTTTCCGGGCACCCACGAGATCGACATGGGCTGGGCCCCTACACATTGACGATATGAACATTTACATTGATGATGTGAACATTCATATTAGAGGTATTTTGGTAATTATGTCACCCATAAGACTTATTGAAACATAAGAAAATAATGTGAACTAAATGGAATATAAGTAGATGAAAATGATATTTTGGTCTTCTTATCTCAAATAGGACCTAATGGAATAGTCAAAAAGAATATGGGTTGGATGGAATAAAGCTCTTAGAAAGTGGACTTATAAAAAAAGCTCCCTTCTTAAAATTTCAAAAAAAATTGAAATCGTAGCCAAACTGTTAAATCTGTGGAACCAGACTAGAATTGAACTACATAAATCGGTTCGGTTCGATTCGATTTTATGGTTCTAGAAAATTTATATTATAATAAATATGATATATATTTTTTTGTTAATAAATAAACTAACAATAATTGATTTGGTTAAATTGATTACAGTTTATCATTTTCACAATAAAAGCTAGTATTAAAGTCTTATAATTTTTTTTATTTTAATTTTTACATATAAAAATATAAAAAATATAATAAACAAATATGTCACAGTTCAGTTCGATTCAAAACTTAAACCAAAGTCTTGGAATCGAAAACCGGACCGATTTGAACGGTTTTACCATTTTCAAAATCAGCATGAAAACTAAAACTAATAAAAACCATACCAAATCGACAGCTTAGACCGAATTTGGCTAATTTATCGATTCAACTGATTTTTTTTACACCCCTAGGACTGTGGCCTGTCACACTCCTGCATCATAAGAAAAATTCTTTAAGTTATGTTAGCCACTTTAAATAATTTGCTAAATTTTCTACCAAACCACTTATATGAGTGTGAAACTCACATATATGTGGATTTCTATGGTCCCACACCTATATGAAATGTTTGATAAAAAATTTGATAAATTATTTAAAATTGATAGCATTTTCCATATTCTTTCTGTTATATTGGGCATTGGTATAGTTATCATGGAACGTCCAAGGGGTTGTTTAGAGATGATTGTGCACTTATCTGATAAGTAGGTTTATTTGCATCATATTATTTTTTTAATTTTTTTAATTTTTTTTATAAAAAGTAAAAAAAGTATAGTAAATAAACAAACCTTAAACAACCCCTAAGAACTAAAATATTCTCATAGATGACAGTTTGTTGAATTTTTTATTTTTCATGTTTTGTTGTTTTAGTGAAATTTTTTTAGGGGGATGTACCAATAAATCCCAAATTAATAACTTATACACTGTTTAGTCTTAAAAGTTTTTTTATAGACTGAAAGCTCCCATTACAATATTTCAAACATCAGATTAATGTTTCGAACATTAGATTTCGAACATCAGATTAATGTTTCAAACATTAGATTGATGTGCAAATGGGACTAAATGGAACATAAGAAAACTTTTAGGACTAAATGGTTCAACTTTTCAAAAATTAAGACTTATGAGTAAATTTTCCTTTTTTTTATACTTATATCAATTTTTTTTAGATACACCTAATCTAAATGTACTTAAAAATTAATGAAAAAAATCTAAAAAGATTTCAATAAATACAAAAATGGTGAAAATAAATTGAAAATTTTCATTTAATGACTTTCTTTATCAAAAAAATCACAATTCTTTTTTTATTTTTTAGTATATGTAGATTAAATGAATTTTAAAAAAATAATAAAATAAAAAAAATTTACTAAAATTAAATAATACGAAATTGCTTTTGAAAATTGCAAATATTTGGTTTTGAAGTTTTCAGAACAGTTTTTGAGTTTTCAATCCGTATTTATTTTATTTTTTAGTAAACTTTTTAAATATTTTAATTAATATTTTTTACTTTTTAGATCCACTTAATCTAAATATATTTAAAAAGTCTAAAATTTATGAAAAAAATCTTT